TATATATATATATATATAAAGTTATAGAATAAACTTGTTTTGTTTTGACTTAAAATATTTTTTCTTCGTGTTTATTATGTGATATTTGCTAACTACTTTTTATTTATTAAAAAATTAAGAAATTATCTTATGTTTATTTATAATCATTATTTATAGACTTTTAAAGAATTTTATAGGTTTTTCAAATGAATATTATTTATTTACTTAAAAAATGATCATTAAAATCTAAAAATAATAAATTTAAATTTTTAAGAGATAATAATCAAAGAAAAATATTTTATAAAAATTAAAATTAAAATTTTCTCATTTTAAAAGGATTAAAAATAATGTTTATAAATTTTAGTAGGATAAAAAATAAATTTTTTTATCAAAATTAAAATCAAAATCATCTATTTTATATAAACTCAAGAGAAATAAAACAATTTAGAATCAGCTTTTAAGGCCTTCATGATAATGAAGGAAGGAAGGATCCATGAAGAATTAGCTAGTTATTTCACTTCTGAAACACATGTAAGTAATTAATGTGCCTACATCATTATATAGTATGTGTGGTATCTTTATGCCAAAACTAGCGATACACACACACATTTTAGTATTTGGCTACATGGTTTGTAGCATGATTTCTGTTGCAATTTCTGGTACGGGTGGTTGTTTTGTTGGTTCATACTCTTTGGTTGCATGGTTTACAACATGATTTCTATTGTATAGTTTCTGGTTAAAATGGTTATTTTGTTGGTTCATGGTCTTTAGTTGCATTGTTTGTAACATGATTTCTACTACAATTTTTGGTTTGGGTAGTTGTTTTGTTGTTTCATAATCTTTGGCTGCATGGTTTGCAACATGATTTCTACTACAAGTTTTGGTTTGTTGGATGTTTTGTTAGTTTAGTTCTAGTTTTGGTTGTCCAGGATCTGAGTGGACTAATCTTAGTCCCTGGCTGTTGGTTTAGGAACTAGTTGGCTTCTACACATCTTTGGTTTGGTGTTGCTATTATGGTTTTGGCTTGATGGAGCTCTTGATTCGTAGTTCTAGTTTTGACTGTGGGTGGGTTATGTTATTGGTTGCATTAACTAGCTGGTTTGTTTCGGTCCTTAATTGATTTGGTCATGGGTGTTTGGAATTGTCATTATGATATAATATATGTGATATATATTTTTCTTAACTAAGTTTTTTTTCTTTTATTATTTCAGCCAAACTATGCTTCAAGTGTTCCTAATACACCTTTAGATGCAAAAGGATCATCTAGTGCTAGCAACCCTTAGATTGCTTATAATGTATTTTGGTTTTAAAGTTTAGTATAAGGCTAATTTGACAATGTTATGGATTTTATGTTGTACTTGGATTTATAATAGAAGTTTGAATTGTAAATCTTTGAACTATATGTTGGTATTTTGGTTATTAGCAATGGAATTTCTTCATCCATTTTATGTGTATTTTTTTTATTAAGTTTCTTATAAATATCAAAAGTGAAAATGGGAAATTGTAATACATGTAAATTATGCAATTAAAATGAGTATAAAAATTATTATACACAGGAAAATAGGGAGGATTATAAACTCCACAAAAATATATTGATTAATGATTGTGATGGAAGAGCATGGGCTAAAGGCCCAACCACTAGAGCTATGGCCAGGAGACTACTTGAAGATTTGACTGCTTCAGAGATTAGTGGGCCCAATGGGCTTGGTGGGCCTAGGGTGTTTTTCATATGGACCTTACTTGAATAAACACCATGATTTGTTGTATCTTATTAGTATAGGAATTTACTTTGATTTTGGTCTTGTATTTTGACCATAAACTAGGTTTAATGCTCTTGGGCTTATATTTGGGCTTCTTAGGCTTTGGGCTTTTGATACCCAATATTAGGCTCATTCTTCTTCTTGTATTATTTCCTTTTCATTGTATTCCTTAGACCATTGTATTTTGGCCATTAGATTAGGGTTTAAGGAGGATTAGTAGTTCATTTGAATTAGGACAAATTAGGTTAAATTTAGGATGGATTTAAGTTGCATTTAGGTCACACTTTTGGCACCACCTTGGCTGCACAAGTGTGACACCGAAATGCAACCCTAAATACATACTAAATTCAATCTAATTTGCATTTAGCTCCACATGACCGGTTATGCACATGTGACACAAGGTTTGAATTCAAATTTGAATTTGAATTCAAATCTTGGCACCAACATGTGACCTCTCATGTGGCGCCAAGTGTCTCCTCATTTTCGGTGACCTATATGTTTCCTCCTAACACATTTTGTACTCACTTTGAATCATTTATGAAATTTGTGAGCCATAGTGCCGAGTTTCTCTCTCAAAGTCTCTTAGAGTTCATCTTCAAAAACCTTAGGAATTCACCTAGATTCCTTCTCTTTGAAGTGTGCTCTCCATTGATGCTTGAGCTCGGATGCTTCCATCCTAGTTTTAGGTTGAGTTCATCCGTGAGTTCTCTAGCTTGCAAGTGTTCTTGAGTTGAAGAATCAAGTCTAAAAATACCGGTAAAAAATTTTGTAACAATTTTTATTGCCACTAAAAATTATATTAAATACCACTAAAAGTTTATTTTGTTATAGTGTTGTGAATTCCTTTAGCAGAGTTTGAACCGGCTCTCATAATACTTCTTTATAAAAATAAAAATAAAAATAAGATTTAAATTTTTTAAATTTAAAAATTAAATATAATATCAATTGATTTACTAAGTATTAATAATTTTTTAAGTATTTTTATTAAATAAAATATAAAAATACGTCTCTACTCCTATATTACTTTATAATCCTAATAAATCATATGTAATAAGTCATCTTTATGTCCGAGGAGGGTCAAGTGGCTATGAACAATTAGGGTATGTTAGGGCTCAACAGGATCATGTCCAAAGAATTTAGAATAAACAAACTGCAAATTCAACAGAAAAAAGTGCTGTCTTATTTTTTAATTAAGAATTAGGAAAAAAAACGACAGTAACCGTTTATTAAAAACTTAGTGGCAATTTCGTCATTACTTAAAGCAAAACTTATTAATTTGAAAATATATCGTTGTTTTTCTATAACAATATATATAAGCAACACAAATTTTTATATATACATTTTTAGACATTTTTAATTGTATATATATATTTTTTAGTGTAGGATAATTTAATAATTTTATCTTATTAATTTAAACAAAAAATATTATTTATCTAAAACGGTCTTTCTTTAACTGCAATTTTATTGTGGTTTTGTAACTTTCACACAACATTCAAGAGGTGGAGGTACCTTTATTTTTGCTAGTAATTGAATAACTAAAACATTATTAGGTTATTTGTTATTAGCATCGCGTAAAACTGTTTACTCCATTTACATTTTTAACTTTACAGATTTTAACAATGTTATTGGTAGATTATAATTAATACATTAACTTACATATTTACCATTGTTATGTTTGTATATATATATAAAAAAAAGGTAAGTAGTTTGAAGACAACTTTTCCCTGCCTAAATTGAAGCTACTTTTGTAATTTAATGCTAATATTTCAATCTTATTTTTTTACAAAATTGATATTCATTTTGAATTAATGAGTTTTGCATATGCGACACCTTTCAGCATAAAAAGACTTCAAATTTCTTCGTCCCGTACTTTAAAAAAAAATAAAAAAATTTCACGTTTCCCCCTCTATTTTTTTTATGTCTAAATATACTTTTAATTTCTATAAATTGTTAAGATTTGAATTTGATCTCAGTATTTTTTTTTTAAATTTAGAAAATTTAATTTTAGTATTAATTGTTATATGATTCTTATTAA